AGATAATGCTTCAGGGATGCAGCCCTCCTCAGACGGGGTAAATCAACCACTGGGAAAAGAGCAGAGAGGTGGCGCAAACACCTAGTGCATTATCCATGATTTAATAAATGGTGTAAATGACAAAAACATACTCACAGACATATTGTAGCATGTATAAAAAGCTTTGCATGATGGAGATGGCCGCAACAACGGGCAAGGTGTACTAGTTGTCAGTGTGGTCAGGTCTCTGACGCGTTTCAGGGACGAGTCACTTTCCTCAGAGCTACTGACCAGCCTGCATGAAGGTGGAGCATTGCTCCCAAGGCATCTAGCCATGGCTATCTATAGCATGACCTTCAGGCAGGCTGGTCAGTAGCTCTGAGGAAAGGGACTTGTCCCCAAAACGGTCTGATGTGGGGTTGCAATAAAAAAAATGTTAGGTGGGCAGAGGATGGGAGGTCAACAGGGGAGTGTACAGGGGTCATTATGGCAGATTTCAGGGGATCAGCAGGGCATGGAACATATAAAATGTTCCTAAAGGAAAACGTAGCCTTTAAACAGTATAAACAATATTAAACATTGACAATGATAACAATACTCAAAACAGTAATCTGCCTGATTTACATTTAAAAAGTCAAAACAGCATGACAAAATGTGAACAAGACTAGGATTATGAAAGACATGGAGCACCCTTGGACACAACAGGAAAGTTCTGCGTCTGGCCAGTAGGGGGTCTTAAAGGGGGATTGAGCAGAATCTGCACCTGCTGTATACAATGCACATCTATACCACAGTTCTTGTACCCACAAAATACTAAATACGGTGCCACAACCAACAGTCTCACAGGCACAAATAAACCTCAGGACAAAGGATTAATTAAAATGGTGTCACCTTACATCAGAATCTGGCAGAGTTCCCCCTTACATCAGAATCCAGCAGAGTGCCCCCTTACAAGAATATCCAGTGAATTCATGTCCAGTTAGCACTTAGAGAATACAGTGGAGTGCCCCTTATATCAGAATCCAGCAGAGGGCCCCATGACATCAGAATCTGGTGGCGTACCCCCTTATATAAGAATTCAGCAGAGTGCCCCCTTGTATCATAATCCAGCAGAGTGCCCCCTTACATCAGAATCCAGTGGAGTTCCCTCTTACATTAGAATCCAGTGGAGTTCCCCTTACATCAGAGTTCAGTTGTCTCTAAGTGCTAACTGGACATGAAATGAGCTGGGCAAGTTTGCAAAGCTTGTGGAGGAACGTTGGGAGAGAGACAGCTAGGGGACAGAATAGAGGGAGATGGGGAGTATTTAGTGAACTTATCACTCACCTCAGCCTGGAATCTGCAGGCTCAGGCAGTAGCATCAATTAAGCAACCACAATGGATCTGCCAGCTGCTGTCTTCAAATCTCCCACCCACACATTCCCTTTGTCAGGCACAGCACTTGCTGCACATAGGGGATTGCAGTGTGGGCGGTGCAGAGACAGGGAGTGGGTTTGGGAGGAGGTGGAACAGATCGATCCTTCTCTCTTCTCTCCCATCTGTGCAGGGAGGGAGGGTGGTAGTTTGCTGGGTGGGCTGTGTGAGAGTGTCACAGACACTCAGCCTTCACAGGTGCAGCCAGCTTGCCTCTAAGTTTATGGGTAGCTTCTCCTGATGGCAACCCTGTACGGGCACAACAACCATAGTGGGGGGAGTTACCTGGGGAGGCACAACTTAAATCTGGGGGCACAGCCCACCCCAGCACACTCTTAGATCTGGCCATTGTGGCAAGAAGAGAAGTGACAGGGAGAAAGGAGCAGGACATAGGTAATATATTTTTTTTTTCTTTTAGGACCAATTTTTCTATGTTTTAAATCCTGAAGTAGTTAGGAAATGTGTTTTTAAATGGATTAATTATTTGAACCATTTAAATAAAAGGTGGCTATTGAAACACTGTCACTGCTGGACAATTTGGGCTGCAGGTGAATGTGGACCTATTGCATAAAAAAAAGACGTGAAATAAAAAAGAATTCATAAAATGAATATTAACAGCACATGCTTTTACTGCCTATAGTAATCAGAATATACCATATTGCCGACACATACAGTGACGAATCATGCTTCTCTGATTAGCTATCCGATGGACGTGTCTGGGTTGCGCGGTTGCTAGGAGAACGGTACTTGTCTAAATGCATTGTGCCAAGTGTAAAGTTTGGTGGAGGGGGGAAATAATGGTGTAGGGTTTTTTTTTCAGGGGTCGGGCTTGGCCTCTTTGTTACTGTGAGAGGAACTCTTAAGGTGTCAGCATACCAAGACATTTTGGACAATTTCATGCTCCCAACTTTGTGGGAACAGTTTGGGGATGGCCCCTTTCTGTTTCAACATAAGTGCGCACCAGTGCAAAAAGCAAAGTCCATAAAGACATGGATGAGCGAGTTTGGGGCGGAGGAACTTGACTGGCTGCAACTCAGTCCTGTCCTGACCTGAACCTGAAAGAACACCTTTGGGATGAATTAGAACGGAGAATGCGAACCAGGTTTTCTTGTCCGACATCAGTGCCTGACCTCACAAATGCACTTCTGGAAGAAAATGGTCAAACATTCTCATAGACACACTCCTAAACCTTGTGGACAGCCTTCCCAGAAGAGTTGAAGCTGTTATAGCTGCAAAGGGTGGGCCAACTCAATATTGAACCCTACGGACTTAGATTGGGATGCCATTAAAGTTCATGTGCCAATACTTTTGGCAATATAGTATATTTGGCAAAGCATTGCCATACATTTTGTGACTCTTCAGACTTTCCCTGGGCAAACGTTTGAGAACCTCATGTTTGGAAGGTCAGGAAAAACATTTGTTTAAAGCAATACTCACAAATTATGGCAGTTCTGTAGTCATTATTCAATTATTACACTGTACAGTACCTAAATTTGATTTGATGTCTGTCTCTTGCAGCCTTTTACAGTAGAGCTTAGACCTGGAGAGGAAGTAGCAGCACAAGGAGCTAATCAGGTGAGCTGTAGTTCTCATGTACTGACAAGGACAATGCTGAGAGGTAGAATGACAGAAAAATTAGCAATGCTGTGTGACAGAGCTGTGTATATCTCAAGACTGGATGGACAGGGATACAAATCCTTGGGCAGGTAAAATAGCTTCCATACACAGTATGTCTTTCATCCTGTTATTTGGTTTTTGCCACTGCCTTTTAATTTGGGGAGTGGTGAAATGTTTTCACTGTATACAATGTTTGCCCTGCACCTCCCAGTGTCTTAAAATGGCCTTGGATGTTGCAAAATGTCTGGAAACACAGTCACCTATATTTGAGGTCTTCTATGTGAGATGACCCTGTACCTCACAGCCGTTACAACTTGTGCGAACATCTAGGGTCCTGTAGTTAAATCTTTAGTGCCCTACCTAAAAGGGCCTTAGTTTGTAAGGGGAACCCTCTCCCAGAAACCCCTTGTCCTAAATCTTTATAGGCTTACATTTTCTTGCATCTTTGAAGGAAAGCAGGGCCAGACTTGAAAGCAGTTTTCAATGCTTTACTTGAACTTGGTAACTAGGAAAAGGAGTATAAAGGAGGTGGAACACCCACAATTCACATGGCAACGTTATGGTACCTTGGCTGGCAGTTGCTGGTTGGATCACAACATCCATAAGCATAATGCAGAACTTCTTCTGGTGGGCACAAAAGAAGAGGTTCAAGTGTAACACTGTCTCAATGATGTTTGTAGCAGAACATGTCTTCTTAGGCCTGCATGGCCTGCTTTAAAGAGAGGAGCGATAACATCTAGGCCCGGTCTTAGCCTTGAGGCCTAAAACTAAGCATATAGCAAGAACATTGAAACACTGTTTTGTCAAAGATAGGTCCAATCTCTTTTAAATCTATTATTACGTAAAATGTTAAAATTTTTTGTAAAACTGCTTTATCAAGAGGAATACCACACTGATCATCATCTTAAATATCACATTCAATTAAATATCACTATTGGTGATAAGTCTGAATTATGGGTTTAAAATGGCTTAACCCTAGAGGCTGTTTGAATAGATTCAAGGCTTGAGTCACCTGGGTCCCTGGTGTTTAATTTATCTTACTTCGTCTTCTTAAAGTTTATCTCTTTCCATCCCTCTCTCCAACACCCCTCTGTGCCCCACACCATCTTCACTTTTGGGAGTGAAGAACAGTGATCAGATTTCTTTCACTGATGTCATTACGATGTATACTGTTATGACGCCAGAGAAGACCTAACTGCTGGACAGCAATAGTAAGTTTCCACATTACACTGGCAGTGACATGGGCACCTGTAGAGGGATCATCCCACTCTGCTGTAGAAAGAGGAGGAGAGGACCAGGAGCACCAGGCAAGCAAACCATGAATTTATGTAAGTGAAAGGGGCTTTTGGGGTCCCATTTTAAAGTCAGTGATTGGTTAGAGGTTGTTGTGTATGGAGGGATCTTTTTAGTGAACAGCTCTAACATTATCAATATATATATACAGTATTTAAATATATATATGTGTGTGTAGCCAGGTGCTTGGCTGAGGATACGAGTTAGAGAGACACTGGCTGCAGCTGCTGCCCCGTAATGCCGAAGCTGTATCAATGAGAGAAGGATGCTGCTAACCAGGAGTTCAACTGAGGCAGGCAGCAATGCAGTATGGGAACTCTAGTTATCAGGAATGTCATGTGTATTCAAGAGCTATTGAACTGCATTTCCCAGAGAGAAATTGTTAGGAGGAGCATTTTCTCAGGCTGTACAGAACACAGCTGCCTCTTGCCATGAGGGAGACTGGAGAATGCACTTCACTGTCCAGTGTGCAACATCACTGCTGCATATTGGAGGTGGAATTTGAACCACTGTGTTTGGGGGGTGCTGACAGCCAGAGTCACCAGGGTGCAGAGTAGAAACTGGACTAATTGCTGTGTGTGACCGGATATATGTACACATTATATTGCCAAAAGTATTGGTACACCCCTCCAAATCATTGGATTCAGGTGTTCCAATCACCTCCATGGCCACAGGTGTATAAAGTCAAGCACCTAGGTATGCAGACTGCTTCTACAAACATTTGTGAAAGAATGAGTCACTCTCAGGAGCTCAGTGTGAATTCAAGCGTGGTACCGTGATAGGTTGCCACCTGTGCCATAAGTCCATCCATGAAATTTCCTTGTTACTAAATATTCAACAGTCAACTGTTAGTGGTATTATAACAAAGTGGAAGCAACTGGGAACAACAGCAACTCAGCCACGAAGTGGTAGGCCACGTAAAATGACAGAGCAGGGTCAGCACATGTTGAATCGCACAGTGCACAGAAGTCACCAACTGTCTGCAGAGTCAATAGCTAACGACCTCCAAACTTTGTCTGGCCTTCAGATTGGCACAACAACAGTGCATAGAGAGCTTCATGGAATGGGTTTCCATGGCCAAGCAGATGCATCCAAGCCTTACATCACCAAGTGCAATTCAAAGCATTGGATGCAGTGGTGTAAAGCACGCCGCCACTGGACTCTAGAGCAGTGGAGATGTATTCTCTGGAATGCCAAATAATGCTTCTTTGTCTGGCAATCCAATAGGCATGTCTGGGTTTGGCAGTTGCCAGGAGGACGAGTACTTGCCTGACTGCATTGTGCCAAGTGTAAAGTTTGGTGGAGGGGGGTTATGGTGTGGGATTGTCTTTCAGGGGTTGGGCTTGGTTCCTTAGTTCCAGTTAAGGGAACTCTTAAGGTGTCAGCATACCAAGACATTTTAGACAATTTCATGCTCCCAACTTTGTGGGGACAGTTTGGGGATGGCCCCTTCCTGTTCCAACATGACTGCGCACCAGTGCACAAAGCAAGGTCCATAAAGACATGGATGAGTGCGTTTGGGGTGGAGGAACTTGACTGGCCTGCACAAAGTCCTGACCTCAACCCGATAGAACACCTTTGGGATGAATTAGAGCTGAGACTGCGAGCCAGGCCTCCTCGTCCGACATCAGTGCCTGATCTCACAAATGCGCTTCTGGAAGAATGGTCAAACATTCCCATAGACACACTCCTGAACCTTGCGGACAGCCTTCCCAGCTGAAGCTGTTATAGCTGCAAAAGGTGGGTCAACTCAATATTGAACCCTACGGACTAAGACTGGGATGCAACTAAAGTTCATGTTTGTGTAAAGGCAGGCGTCCCAATACTTTTGGCAATATAGTGTATATATATATATATATATATATATATATATATATATATATAAACAAGGTAATAGGTTTGCAGCATATACAGCAGTATATCTGCAGATCGCCGAAAGTTGTTTTCCTCTGTAAGTAGTACATAAGCAAATAACTAGTACACTGGTCCTTACCTAAGAATTTTGTGCTCTGGATGTAAAGAATTTATCATTTTATACTAGAGAGCACGCACACAAGGTGGTGTGAACTCTTGTCACCAGTGGAATTGCTTGCCTTGCCCACAGCATTAGAACCTTGTCTGCTTACATTCCTCTACATCCTAATGGTAAGCACTCACTAATTCAATTAATTCATGACCTGCTTGATAGTTCCCTTGCAAACAGTCACCACTACTTAATTGGATTATCATACCAGCTCCCACTTTAGTGGTTGAAAGAAATGCATTCTGCCATCACCGTGCCAGTACCACTAAGCAATGAGAGGGTACGGGTGATCACAGCTTTTCAGAAAAATGACAAGGCAAGCACACCGCAGAAGCTAATGCGCAAACAAGTTCCCAGTTATAAAAATGAACATGTCACTTTAACTTACCTGTTCATTCAATGTAAAGACCCCAGAGGCAAAATACTGCACAAAGTTGTTTTAATGTGATTTCTTTCTTTGCACTCTCAACACTCTTGAATCTACCTGCAACTTAAAAAATGTATTCCACATAAAAGATATTCATTTTCTTGCTTGGTGTCACAGTTGTGTATGTAAGTTGGTCATTCGCAATTTTTTTTCCTTGAACACATCCTGAAAGTTGAAGATGACTCCTTGGTGACTTTGTAGCACATCCACAATCCAAAGTTAATGTATACAAAGAATCATTATTTATTAGCAGATTCACACTTTACATGGTCCTTTGCAGAAAAAAAGTCCTCCAGCGGATGTTAACATACTTCAGAGGTTTGGCTTAGTGGCAAGTTTGATTTATTTCTTTTTGCTTGTTATTGTAATCCTCAACATTCAGACTTTGTCTTATGTCATGCTGTATTCTAATTCTAACATTAATTCAATCTTTGATGTGAATACTTGCAATGATAGTAAAATGCCTGTGTGCTTATAATGTGATTGAATCACGGCAAATGAAGAACGGTAATATGAAGGTTTTAAAGACCGAGAGTGGCATTTTTTTTTTTTTACTAAAATCAGCTCACAGTATCATATGTTCTGTGTAGTCAGGATCTTTCAATGTATTCAGCAAAATGAATTGATTTTAAAGCACAGTAATTAGGTAAAATGTTGTTCAAGCAAATTTGAATTTGTTTAGATTTTGGGTAGACTGGAGAATGGTCAGATTTTTTTTTATGTGTCTTGTTATTATTATTATTATTATTATACAGTATTTATAAAGCGCCAATAGTTCGCTCAGCGCTGTACATTACAAAGGGGGACAGAACATGTGACAGAACAATACCAATACAATGCAAAACATGAGGGGATTGAAGGCCCTGCTCTTTGGAGCTTACAATCTAGGAGGGAGGGGATGGTGGCACAGGAGGAGATAGCTGTGGGGGATGGAGTGGTAGGAAGAGTGGAGGAGGTTGGTCAAGTTAGCAGGGGGTAGGGTAGGCTTCCCTGAAGAGATTGGTTTTCAGGGTGCGCCTAAAGGAGAGGAGAGTAGGTGATAATCTGATGGGTTGGGGCAGGGAGTTCCAGAGGATGGGTGACACCCTGGAGAAGTCCTGGAGGCGGGCATGGGAGGAGGAGACCAGGGAACTAGAGAGAATGAGATCTTGTGAGGAGCAGAGTGTGCGTGCTGGGCGGTACTTGGATATTAGGTCAGTGATGTAGTTCGGGGCAGTATGGTGGACGGCTTTGCACGTCAATGTTAGGATTTTGAATTTGATCCGTTGCGCAATCGGAAGCCAGTGGAGGGATTGGCAGAGGGGGGAGATATTTATATTGTTGGAGATATTTAGATATTTTCTCTCACTTCCTATTCTGGACACCAGCAGGAAGGGACAAAAATTCTTTCTATGGTGGGGGGAAATCTCCTCTTAGTCTGTTGTCACTGGAACAGGTGTTCCCATTGGAATATTTCCCCACATATTCAGCTCTAGTGACAAGTGGAAAATTTTGGATTTCCCAACGCTTTCTGTCTTTCTGACAATGGTCAACAGGAAAAATAGAGATGTGGAACAAATGCAACAGGATCCAAAGGGGTACACACTTGAAAATGCATCCACTTTATTGATAATTTTTAAAACACCATATACAGCAACAATAGAGACTGTGGGAGCAAGGAAACACAGTCAACACAAATTGCGCTGCTAGCGATTATTCATGTCTAGTATTTATGGATGCTGAACCTGAACCACACTGAAATCATTGGGAGCCAAATCTGTCAAACTAAATTTGCCCATTTTCTGGGCTAATAGTCAAAAGTAGCAGTAAGTGGGCACTGCTCTGGGGATCATATACAAACCAATGCAAAAACATTTTTTATTAATACAATGAAGTCAGGAATAGTGATTCTTTAGCACTGACATTTACAAAGCAAAAAGTTTTAAAATTGCTGGCAAATTACTTTGACAGTAGTCACTGACAGCTTGTTTATTTCAAAAAAAGTGTCTGTTATTTGCATTTTTAAAGGGGCAACATTTGGTTAGGGCTTAACAGACAGCTGGCAATGAATGTAATTTGCCAGCAAAATAAACTATTTAATTATGTATTTTCTTTGTTAATGCCATTTTTGCTGTAGCACATCTAACAGACAAAATAAAAAAAAAAATTAATTGCATAGAATCTTTCCGGCAGAAAATGCATACTAGGTCTCTTGAGACTGCTGTAGAGAAGAACAGCTGTAGAGTAGAGAAGATAAATAGGTACAAACTTATGTAGGAGGATTTGTTTAATCTCTGTGTATCTCCTGAGGGTATATGTAATGGTCTACAACCACTTTAATGCATTACCCAAAAAAATGGTACCGCTTTTCATTAAGGTTAAAAAACCTTCCAAGATGAACTCCCCCCGAGACCACTCAAATACTTACGTGAGCCTGACCTCGATCCAGGGCTGTCCCCAAGAGCAGCAGTGCTGCTCTCTCTCGCTCTCCTCACTGGACATGGAGGCAGGAGCAGGAGCCATTGGCTTCTGCTCTTGTCAATCAAATCCAGTCAGGAGGAAATGGAGGACAGGACAGAGCCATGCAATGTCTGTCTATAGACACACAGAGCCCAGCTCAGGAGCGAGCCCGCACATCTGCCCCCATAGCAAGCTCTTGCTATGGGCACAAATACTGAAGAGGAGTAGCAGACAACGCTAGCAGGGGGACCCCAGGAGGGGAGGTTCGAGACTGCTCTGTGCAATACCATTGCACAGAGCAGGTATATATAACATGTTTGTTATTTAAAGTATAACTAAAGGCAATACTTTTTTTTTTTAATTTTTGGATAGAGTGGAAAGGGATTAGAATACCTGTCAGTTCTGGTTACTTGGGGGTCCCCTAAGGATTCCCTTAATTAATTGCTTCCTGTTTGGCTATGGGACTAGAATAAAGGAAAAGCTTTGAAATGGGACACAGATGGCAAAAAAAAAAATCTGACAGGGGTACTAACCCTCTCTTGCTCTACTCAAAATGCAAAAACGTTTTGCTTATAATTCTACTTTAATTTAAAAAAAGTAGCCTATAGTAACGCTTTAAGTTATTTTGGTAGGCTGATTGATACTGCCAAATTCTGTGTGGACATCTTGCACATCAAAAACTGTTGATCATAAAGTGGTTAAAAACCAGGCAAAAGTTTATTCAGTGCACAAATACATAAATAAGGGCATGCTTTACCAGAAAAAGTGATCTTATGTCATTTTGGAGATGAGTTATCTCCATATAAATAGCTGTATGTAGACCAATTCTTTACAATAGTACTACAATAAGACTTTGGTCTTCTTCCATCCTCTTTTACTATGTTGCTATGTAACTAGCAATGTCTGGTACTCTCAGCACCAATTTTTGATGTTGAAAAGTTAAAAGTTAAATATAAATTGCCAGTGAAGTTTCAGCAATTTTTAATAATTTTTCTTCGGTGGCACTGCATATATGAACGATATATTTGTCCTAGAGCAATAGGAATTCATTTCCTCAAATCTGTAATATCTGCAGAAAGCTAAATTAAAAATGCATTTGTACTTGTACAGTTAAATGATCATATTTAATGAAATGTCAGGGATGAATCTTACCACAACAGAAAAGAAAAATAATTCTAAAAGTGGCATATTTCATTATGAGCAGCCTTGACTGGAGTGAGCTTAAATAGTTTGTGTTAAACTTCAATTACAGCCTTATTAAATTATAGAGTGTGAAATTCCATATGACTTATAATGGGTTAACCCGTAATCTCTTTTCAGAATAGAGCATATCTATCTGTAAAATAAAATCTAGTTTACTGTGAAAGCCTAGCAACACTTACAGTGCATCCCGAAAGTATTCACAACGCTTAACTTTTGCCACATTTTGTTATGTTACAGCCTTATTCCAAAATGGATTAAAATAATTTTTTCCTCAACATTCTACAAACAATACCTCATAATGACAACGTGAAAGAAGTTCGTTTTGAAATCTTTGCAATTTATTCAAAATAAAAAACGAAAAAAGCAAAACACATGTACACAAGTATTCACAGCCTTTGTCATGACATTCAAAATTGAGCTGTGGTGCATCCAGTTCCCACTGATCATCCTTGAGATGTTTCCACAACTTGATTGGAGTCCACCTGGGGGAAATTCAGTTGATTGGACATGATTAGGAAAGGCATAAACCCATCTATATAAGGTCCCACAGTTAACAGTGCATGTCTGTAAACTGGGCTGTGTAACAAAATGTGGCAAAAGTTAATACTTTCTGGATGCACTGTACTAGCTTAATTAGCATGACAGTTCAAAATGCAGTAACTACTGTACATGCAAAGTGCTAGAAACTATAACAGCCGAATTCCAGATTACTATATTCACATTATTTCTCAGCGCAAGCTTGGGATCAGCCATACTAGAGTAGGAAACCAAGCCCAGGGTTGAATATAGTCAGATGCCAATTAACCTTCCCAAAATGTTTTTCGGATTTTGGTTGAAAACTGAGCTGCTGGAGAAAAAAACATAAAACCAATTTGGACACAATGCACATTGCATCTAAAGTGGGATTGAATCCATAAACCCTAAGTAGCACCCAGCCACTGTGCTGCTTCATTTTAAATTGTTAAAATTATTATTTAAATTGTGATGTTACTTGCCTGGTATAGTCATGATTATATTTCATTTATTCATTTGCAAGTACCCTGTACAAGAATTTACTATAATGATTTACTTTTTATCAGACATACATGATGAGATCAAATCAATTACAAGATAAGCATCACTGAGATTGGGCATTGTTCTTAGCCAGTACAACAAGACTTCTACTGAGAAAGAGAGGAACAGTAAAACACAATTAAATAGTACACTATTGATTTGGTCTACCCAGAGGGGCAGTTTATTACCAGCTGCTGGGAATTTTTTAATATACCCTCTGGCGCTGATTATTAACACTTATATAGCAAAACGCAATTACCTTACAAAATAACTGAATGAAGGTCCGACGCTCCACATACATAAATTTAAGTTAACCCAGTAGTTAAAATTCACCAAAGAAAACTATATATATATATGAGAGATAATAAATATTTGAAAGTCTCACTACAAATTTGGTTCCAAAAATACTCTTGTAGTGCTTGGTATACATCTTCATGCAAAACCTCTTAGTGCTCCACCTTACCTTACAGTACAATTAGTCAAAAAGGGTTTGGCAAATATTCTGCATCTTTCACCCAGAAGGCCATCCCTGCTGTCCACTTGCTTATGGAAGGTAATGCCTCCTTATCACTGAATCATGCAGTAAATGGCATGGTTCACATGACAACAAACACGTGGTTTAGCAAGTATGGGCAGGGATGTTATACCCCGTTAACAGACCACTGTGTCAATTTGCTGGAATTTGAGAATGCTGCAGGACAGGGCACACCACTGGAGCTGATGGTATTATCCCATGTACAGGGGCGGACTGACCATTCGAGCACTTGGTACTGTCCGAGGGCCCGGGTTAGTAGGGGGCCCCATGAAATGCCCCTGGTACCTTTTTATAGGATTCTTTTGAGTGTGGGCAAGGGCATAGGGGCCCCATGATCACCTGTTGCCCGGGGGCCCCATGAGTTGTCAGTCCGCCCTTGCCCATGTAGTGCAACTTAGTAAAGGTGGTAGCTCGGTCCCCACATGGAAATATAGAAAAGAGACGGCAGAAAATGACCAAGTGGTCCATCGAGGCTGCCCTTTTTTTTTTGGGGGGGGGGGTGTGTCTTGTTTTTTTTGTGGGTTTTTTTTTTTTGTTTGCCTTTTTTTGTTAACTTTTTTGTCTGAGTATAGATCTATGCTTGTCCCAAGCATGTTTGAAGCTATTTACTGTTGACTGGCTCACTACCTCTGCTGGAAGTTTATTCCAAGCATCAACTACTCTATCAGTAAAATAGTGCTTTCTGAGATTAGTTTTGAACTTTCCTCCAGTTAGTTTAAGGTCATGTCCCCATTCTTGATTTTGGTTTTGTGTTGAAAATACCGCTCTCTTGAACTTTATTCACCCCCTTGATATATTTAAAGGTTTCAATCATGTCTCCCCTTTCCCTTCTTTCCTCCAGACAGTAAATGTTATGTTCCTGGATATGTTTTATCACCCAGGCCTTTCACCATTTTGTTACTCGTCTCTGGACTCGTTCTATCTTCTCAATATCTTTTTGTAAGTGAGGTCTCCAGAACTGGACATAGTATTCTAAATGAGGTCTAACTAAAGATCTATACAGGGGAATCAGGACCTCCTTCCTCCTGCTGGTGACCCCTCTAGTGATGCATCCTAGAATTCTATTCGCTTTCTCCACTGCCTGGCCACACTGCTTGCTCATTTTGCAATCTTCTAAAATCCTTTTCCTCTCTAGTGCTGGCCAACAATGTACCCCCACTGCTGTACTCTCTCAAGCGATTCTTTTTCCCTAGGTGCATTATTTTACATTTAGAAACATTGAACTGCAATTTCCACTTTTTTGACCAATCATTCAGCAACTTTTTTGACCAATCTTTTCTTGTGTGAATATGGGACAAGGACTGGTTCTGGGGATCTGGGTTTTTTTTCACCATGTCAGTGGCTCCTCATTCAGGATGCGTGAACTGTGTTGTCACTGTTCGAAGAGGAAGCCGAATTTGCTAGCATCTCTGAGAAAGTTGCAGGGCAGGGAACACCACTGGAGCTAGTGGTTTCATCCCTTGTCATGCAGCTTACTAAAGTTGGCAGCTTATGTACTGTCTATATAGGTATTGAATTCATTTTTTTTCTCTGTGAATATATATACAGTTACATGTGGATTTTTAGCCTACAGGTATGCATTCATTCTGTAATTTGCGAAATGAGGACAAAAAGGGATTTTTTTGCTATATTGTAATATGTACAATATTCTTTTGTAAGTGAAAAAATGTTCTTTATATCCCATAAGTGGCATGAGATAAGGGTTGTATCAAGTGAGGCTACCCAGAAATGTATTAAAACTATGTTCATGCAGTGTATGCATCCCCATTTCAATTTTGGACAACTGGCAAATGGGGATGTAGTTTAGCCAATGAGGTACAAAATGCATTGTAGAATTATTGCATATGATGTGTGTATCATCTTTTATTTGAATCAGAAATATTAAAAAATTAAAATTTTTTGGATACCTCCAAAGATAAATGAGGATGTGGTTTAGCCAATGTGCTCTACAAGAATTTGTAGAAATTACTACATGTGCTGTGTATGACATACTGTATTACTTCTATTGTAATCTGAGAAACATAAATTAAACCTATTTTAGGCCCCCACAAGAGAAATGTAGATGGGGTTTAGCTAATCAGATCTAAAATAAAATAAATAAATCAGAAATAGTGAAAATAATAACTATGCAGTGTGCGCTATATTTCTTCCTTTGTATAGTGTAACAGTTACTTTTTTTGTAAATATTTGGCCTGAACAGCTGCATGCTTTGTGGCAAGCCTAAAATTGATGTGGAGGTGCCACCTCTGTGCTCACACACCTCTCACCATAAGTACACGACCCACACCTCTGTGTTCAGGTCATATATAGCTTTCACTTGTATGCCTACAGATTATTTGGCATGGACACAGTATGTGTCCCTTTAAGGCATGCTGTTCAGTATGCTAAGCCCATTTAGGCTTGTTCCATGTTGTTTACCATAAAAAGCAAAAAAAAAATGTTTAAAATCACTCATATATCATAAAACATATATGTAAAAAGATAGCATCCACACGGGATCTAATTTCTGGTTACCTCTGACATCGCCCAGCTCTGCTCTACATGTTACATCACGAGTCACATGGCTTCATCAAGAGGAAAGAGCTGGGTTAAAGAAGATGTGTAAAATAGAAATCAGCACTAAGAATGTAAAGTGCAAAGAAATGTAGCAGCTGAACACTAATACCCTGATACTAGGCAATACAAAAATATTGTGCATAAAGTGCAGCACTTACATAAATCTGAAAGGTTGTGACAAAACAGGGAATTTCCAAGGATAGCTGAGGTGTCACCATCCACTCACATGCAAGGCTTACCAGAAAGACATGGCCCTCTGTAAAGAGCGGTCAATCTCGCTTGTGTTATATAACAACCAGGAAGGCTAGCAGGCGCAATCCTCCTCTGAATACCCCAAGAGCGATAAGTAGAAGGTCCTCCTAAAGCAGTCACCTATTGTGGTGACTTTATCCGCTTCAGATAAATGTAATGCCAAGACTCATGGCATTAAACATGCAAAAGGAATAAACTGCTCCTTTATTCAAATAAAATTGCACTCATGTGGTAGTAGATAAGGACACGCATGTACAAACAAAAAGATCAATTCTTTCCAGCATCCAAAATGGCCTCCGGCCGGTCGCGCATGCGTGGTAGCGTGTGTACGTGGCTCCGCCCTATGCATTTCATCACAAATTACATCATCAGGGGCACTTACACACGCCCACTATGCTCCTTATATAGGACCCAAAGCCCTAGAGGATCGCCCCCATGGGCTACAAATTGCAGGGGAAAGTGACAACACACCTGCTAACTAATCCAGCAATTGATCAATTTGATGTTGAAACGTGATATAACACCATCTAGTGTTGAAAAGATAAATGACAAGCAACTTAATGATTAAAATAATAATAGTATTGTCTCTGACATATTCCACTCTTATTGTTATATCAGGAGAAAAAGTGTCTTGTCACTCCATTTTCAAATGCTACCTACTACAAAGGCTTTCATGATGTGCATTGTGACTCTGTAATATTTCTGCCTTGTGTCTCAAATAATTCATGCAATTTTTATTTCTGGATAAAAAGGTGCCTTGTCTCTTCCCATTCATATGCAACCTATAAAAAGGCTTACATGATGGGCAGTGTACCCCTGTAATATTTCTGCCTCGAGCCTCTGACATAACCCACTGTAACATTTATTTCTAGATCAAAAATGCATTGTCTATCTCTCTTTAAATGTGGCCTACTAAAAAAGCTTACATGATGCGCATCATGTCTGGATTATATCTGGTTTGTGCTTCTGACATAATCCGCTGTATTTTTTGGGTCAGGAATGTTCTGAATCTCCCTCTTCAAATGCAGCCTACTAAAAAAAACCTGCTTTGCCTCTTCGTCTTACATTGCTGCCCAATCAAGCTGCCTACACACTTTCCAGCCACTCCGCTATATATCTGACTATTGTATTTGATATATGGCCCTGTAATTTTATTTCTTCTTAACATTTGCCTTGTTTCAGGATTGTGGGGTTGTGATTTTTGAGGTGTTTTTGTGCACTCTGTGTTTACATGTTATTAAACCTTTTGTTATGCCATTTTTTGCCACTGTTTGGCAATTATTATGCAGTTGAGGGATTTAGCTTTATTTTTTTTTAAAGTGTACACCTGGTAGATTTTACATGTGTTCTGATTACTACTTTAACTGGTCAACTCTGGACTACTATTACTGCTAGATAAAAACATATGTCACAGCAAAAACTACCTAAAATAGATATTTTATCAAGTTATAATTAATCACATACAGTATGTCTGCTGATGCTTTATGTAAGCCTAGGAATTATGCACAATTAAAAAGCATGTATTACACATACAAATTATGTGATGCCAGAATATGTTGTTGTTTAGGCTGTCCTGGAGAAAACCGAAGTGTTCTGTAGGCCACGTATAGATTAAAGGCATGTCTGGTGCATTGAAGTGTTCTTGTTTTTCCCAGGTCACCCTCAAAATCACAATAAAATATAGGGCCCTCTCATCATTGAATGATATTTATTACATTTGTTTTTGCATTGGTACATGGCCTCTAATGCCAGTGCCCTCCTCCCCATGCACTCTTATTCTTAAAAATGGACAGAAATTATTTTTATAATTCATCTCCTACTGACTCAATGGAGTTTGCATTACAGTTTGCATTTGGCTTTACAAAGCCTGGACAAGATTCACCCACTATAGACTTTATTAGAGTTTGCCATAAAGCTTGTGAACCTCAAGCGAAATTTGTGAAGCTGTTCCTAAACCAAACCCAGGCAGATTTTTTCATCTCCAAGACTCTGTTTGCATCTGGGCGTTTTGCATCATGGGCAGAATTGCCAAGGTGCTGGCTGCAAACTCAAAACGCTGTGCAAAAATGACAAATCACACTTAACATGTTCAGGTGACATTCATTTTTAATGACACCTAAAACGTAGTACGATTCTGCCATGATTGTCATGTGATAAATCGTGCTGTAATTTCACAAACCACATTGCTAAAGCTGGTTGCCCCAAAAGAAACTCCTGCTTCCTTTTGGGTGAAAAGCACAATGCAGTTTGCCGTGATTGCAGTGCAATTTATCTCATGTTAATTGTGGCAGAATCGCACCACGTTCTAGGTGCCATTGAAAATGAATTGTAATTTTTACACAGAGTTTTGGAAATGCAGGCATAATCGCGGTGATTCTGCTTGTAATACAAACTCCCAGATGTCAATGGAGCCTTAATACTACATAGTTTTTACACTGTTTTATTCAAGTGCAGTTTGAAGGATGATCTAATCTGTATACTGAGTCAAATCATCTCGTCCTAGATTGTAAGCTCCAAGGAGCAGGGCCCTCCTTTTCCCTCTTGTATTGAACTGTATTGTTGCTGTATTGTCTCCCGTTGTATTGTAAAGTGCTGAGCAAACTGTTGGTGCTATATAAATCCTGTATAATAATAATAATCTCTACAAAAAAAAAAAGTTAAATAC